CCCTAAACCCTAAGCCCTATTTAGATCCCTAAAATCCCTTAACACAGCGATCTGAAGGTCTTGTGCTTTGCCTTGCAACGGTGGAGGCCCAGCCGAATCTCGGCTTCGCAGGGGCAGAGGGTTTAGGGTTTAGGCTTTAGGGGTTTAGGAGGGTTTAGGGGTTTAGGGGTTTGGGGGTTTGGGGGTGTTGGGTTCTGGGTTTTGGGTTTTGGGTTTGGGGGTTTTGGGGTTTAGGGGTTTAGTGTTTAGGGGTTTAGGGTTTCAAGGTTTTGGGTTTAAGGTTTGGGGTTTCAAGAAGGGTTGGGTGTTGTCATTATTTGATTCCTGGGATTTAGTAGGGTTTGGTTGCTTCAGGTTTAGTGTTGGGATTGAAGGTTGAGGATTTTAAGACGTAGGGTTGGGGATTTTGAGGATTAGGGTTTGGGCTTAAGGTTCTGGACCTTAGGAAGTATCGGGTTTAGGACTTAAGGCTTTAGGGGATAGTTGAGGACCAAAACTGTTTTTTGTTTTTTTTGTTTTTTTTTTTTTTTTTTAATTTTTTGTGGGGTTGGCGGTGTTCGGGAGTTTAGGATTGCGGGTTGCGCGTTCCCGACTTGAGGGTTGACGGCTTAAGGGTTTAGGGGGGGGGGGGTTAGGGTTTAGGGTTTAGGGTTTAGGGTTTAGGGTTTAGGGTTTAGGGTTTAGGGTTTAGGGTTTAGGGTTTCGGTTTAGGGTTTAGGGTTTCGGGGTTTAGGGTTTAGGGTTTAGGGTTTAGGGTTTAGGGTTTAGGGCTTTTGAGTGGACCTTCGGCTTTAGGGGGTGTTTGGGCAAACTGCTTCGAGCCTGAGGTGTAGGGTTTAGGGTTTTGGGTGTAGGGTTTAGGGTTTAGGGTTTAGGGTTTAGGGCTCAGGATTAGTGAAGTACTTCTTGCTTTGTTTCCAAAGGGCTGGTGGGAGTTAGGATATGGCAGTCTGGCATTGCAAAGGGCTAAAGTTCAGTCATGTACTCCCTTCACATCCTGGTGGCATGCCAGGCTGCGCAAGCCTTTGTTTTTAGATCTTGTGTATCTTGATACTGCAGAACCCCACAAGCCCGCGTTCCCCTAAACCCTAAAACCTAAACCCTAAACCCTAAACTCTAAACCCTAAACCCTAAACCCTAAACCCTAAACCCTAAACCCTAACCCTAGAAGTATCTGAGGCTACACGACACCCTACGGAGTGCCGAAGCTGCCACCCAGCGCTTTAAACTCCACCCTCTGGAACCTTGTCCACTGGGTTTTCCTGAAGTCTACGACGAGCCCCGGCAGGCAGTTAGGGTTTAGGGTTTAGGGTTTAGGGTTTTGGGTTTTGGGTTTAGGGTTTAGGGTTTAGGGCCAGGTGCATGTAAACCCAACTGGAATGCGTGGAAAATCCGGCGCCATGGTAGCCAATCTCCTTACGCCTCTTCGCATCAGAAGCCCAATGACATCTCTCGGTTCAGGGTTTCTCAAGGCAAAGTTGAGGGTAGGAATGCACTTGACCTGCTGACAGGTAGACCTAGGAGCAGTTTCTAGGTTTAGGGTTTAGGGTTTAGGGTTTAGGATTTAGGGTTTAGGGTTTAGGGCTAGGACTCAGAGTAGGCCCTTATTCCCTTCTTTTGAGCATTGAGGTTCCCTGAGAAATCCCCTCTAAACCAAAAAAGGGCACCCTTCTTATTCCTAGGTTACTCTTGGGTCTCGCTTTACTAGAGGAGCTGCTAGGAGTTGGGGGGAGGGGGGAATCGTATGTTGGGTTACAAGCATTGAACTTGGACTGGGCTGCTCGCTTGAGGGTGTTTGGCGCTTGGCGTATTCGAAGCCCCATAAAGCACAATGTCATTGAAGCGACTCTAGACATATAGGGTTTAGGGTTTAGGGTTTAGGGTTTAGGGTACCCCGAACCCTAGATCCTAAGCTCTTAGAAGCCAGCCGCCTTGAGATTTCTTAGGCAGCTGAATGCGCCGATCGCTGAGAAGATTTTCCAACAGCCTGAGACTTAGATCTTTAGGGTTTAGGGTTTAGGGTTTAGGGTTTAGGGTAGTGGTGGCAGGGCTTAGCTTAGGATGTGGCGTTGGTGTGCTCGGGGTTTAGGGCAAGGGATGTAGGAGCAGTTAGGGCTTGTGAGGTGTAGCGGTTAGGCCTTGAGGATGCAGGAGTTTAGGGTTTAGGGTTTTTGGGTGGAGTCTATAGGGAGTAGCCTTGGGACGCCTGGAAGCCCTAAAACTGGAGCTTGCTACAATCCAGTGGAGAGGCCTCCCAAGCCCACAAAAGCCTCAACCATACTTTTAGGAGTCGGAATAATTTAGAATAATATTCCCTTTTAGTCCCTTGACAAGTGCACTAAAAATAACCCCCAAGACCCTACTCTAATTATTTAGGCTCCTACATTACCTGGGGCTCGATATGCCTCCGATTTTGGAATTGCAGTCTTTTGGAGTCGTAGGTAAAGCTTCCCAATAGATCATGAGTTTAGGCCCACCAAAGCACTTCAAACCCTTGAGAAGAAAACAATGTCCCCGTTAGACCTGAAACCCTAAACCCTAAATGGGTGGTTGTCAAAATTATGATCCCTTTTGGGGTACCCTAAATATTAGGTGCCGTATTATAATAGGGACCCAAAAAGGGACCATAATTTTGACAACCACCCAAATCTTAAACCCTAAACCTCACTTTTGCCAGCAGCAAATCCTGCCGCCAGGCCCGCTGCAGAGCTGTTTCCGCCCTTGCCTGAGAATTTCTAGGGTTCAGGGTTTAGGGTTTAGGGTTCAGGGTTTAGGGTTTAGGGTTTAGGTTGGTCTCTTCAGGATTGAAGTGGAGTGCTTCGTCATATCTGCAGTGCACAGAGCCCGCAAACTCCGGGCCAAGTTCTTCAGGTTCTGAACGCAACCCTAAACCCTAAACACTGAACACTTAACCCGAAACCCTAAACCCAGAACACATTCTGAGGGTCTGTATCGCAGCACCCTGTCTAACCAACGATTGGCAGCTCCAAATTGCATTTCCCGTTGCATTTCCCGCCCGATGCCGTGGAACCGAAGTTTTTTGGAACCCAGGCATATTTTCTCTAACCCTAGAACGCATGTGGAAGAAGGGAAACGGGAAAAGAACAACGGGGTGTCCTTTAGTGGTGCCGTTTCGGGTTGGCTTTTCGCACCAGCTCTGCACGTCTTGTACTGAAAGCAGGTCATTCCTCGTATTCTTCCGGAAGGCTTAACGTTGCAAGCTCCTTACAAGGTCCAACTTCCGAAAGCTCTTCATGAGGGCCTTAATTCATAAAGACCCTACATGCGAATCCCATGTTAGCAAACGCAGCTTTCCGCCCGATTCCATTTTGAGGCGCCGGTGGCTTTCGAGGATTCGGGCTTGCCGAAGCTGCCTCGCATCAGCGGCTGAATTTCTACTCGGTCGTTTCTGGGCCTTTGTCAACGATTTCGGCTTGATTTCCGTCCGGAAAATGCTGGACGGTTTCTGCCTGTTTCTGGATTCCGTCATTTTCCGCTCCATCGCCGCCAATTTCCACTCGATCGTGTCTGGGCAGTCCGGCATTTCCGCTCAATCGCCACCCAAACAAAAGAATCCTAAAATTGGGGTCACATACCATCCCTACTAAGGCATATGGACCATGACCCCTTTTAGGTTCATTCGGTCCCGAGAGCAGGCAGCAAACCCTAAACCCTAACCGCCCCCCCCCCCCCCCCCCCCCCCCCCTGGGTCGTTCGGCCCGCCTCCCACAGCTCGAAGGCCGATAGCACCAACGATGTGACCGGTACTGCGGTTGTTTCTTTTGAGGTCGGGGACCCTTCGCCGCACCGTATCCCTGGGGCTGGCCTCAACCACTCAAGAAAACACGAAGTTCGAAGCCCCTATAGACTAGACCCCCTTGAAGTGGCCAACCTGGGAATTCACGAAGTGGATTTCCACGCGCTGCCGAGGGCAGGCGTGGGGGGTTTGTCGAATTGGCAGACGCCCACAAACTCGGAACGCGCCAAACACCCGTAGAATGAAATCCCTGAAGCCCAAAACCGCCCCGAACTTCCACTGAGGTCCCTGGCTGAGCTCAACGACCTCATCAGCTCTGCATCGACTTTCTGCACCCCAGCTCTTTATCTTGCCTGGGGGTTGTTCTCAATCCTCGTCCCTCTTGAGGTATTCGAAAGACTTGGGCATACTGAATGTCTTAAGGGGGGGCCATAACAAGAGTTTAGAAGAGCCCCATTTATAATGCGAGTCGAGCCAGCAGACGTCAAAGTCGTAGTAGCCCCAGCAGAAGTCGTGACCATCTAGTAGTAGCAGTCGTCGTCGTGGTGGTAGTGATAGTGGCAGTGGTAGAGTCGTAGTCGTCGTCGTCCTCCTCCTCCTCCTCCTCCTCCGCCTCCTCCTCCGTCGTCGTCCTCTGTCGTCGTCGTTGTTGTTGTAGGAGGCTAGTGACTTGGATATTGACGACATGCCTTTCTTGTTGTGGACGTGGCTGCCTGCCAAGGCGTCGCGCGGGCACGTGCAAGTCTTCTAAATGAACATATTGATGTTTTTTGCTGCTGTTGTTGCTGCGGCTGTTTTTGGGTCCCAACCAAAGCCATGGACTCATGCTGTGCCCACCACTCTTGCAGCAACGATGACAAGCAAAAACGGCTACTGTATTCTGCTTCAATGACCACAGCTGCAATGATGCAATGCCAAGGGAACCTATACGTGAATCATGTAGTTTTCTTGAAGGTGCCATGCCCTTGCAAATTCAAAGGGTCAACTGCTTTGGTTGCGCAAACGCTATGGTGTTACCTAGAGGTCCTGTTTGGGCAGCTGTTGAGCTGCGCTGCTCTGGTATTCAATGCTTTTGTGGTTATGACTGGGAATAGGTCCCTCAGCGTCAGCCTACGCTAAACCACTTTTCTGCGTGAAGTGCACTAGACAGTATGGCAAAAACTACGAACCAGCAGGAAACACACACAACATGAGGGTCTGTTTCGTCGAACTGACCGCAGATGAGGGGTCGTTTGCCTTAGCCATGCCCGCCATCACCTATGCCTTTCCTCCTCACAGGCAGCCTCATCGCGGAAAGCCATGCCCTTCATGGCGATTTTCCCCCGGACTTCAACATCAACAACATCCGTCTCGGGCTGCTTCTTTGCATGTGGCTGCCCTGATGGCCATTTCAAAACGCCAAAAACAAGCTCGTTTGTCTAGGACAACCAGTTCAGTCTTGGCAAACCCAGAAAAGTCCTTGGAGGCTTTGTCGACTTGATGATTCCAAAGCCCTATAGTAGAATCCGGGTCTGCACAATCCTCCCTAAACCCTAAACCCTAAACCCTAAACCTCTAAACCTGAAGGCCGCCCTCCCAATCTATACAGTATTTCTTCGGGGCCCTATCCAGCTCAACCCAGAACCTCGAACCTACCGATAAAAAGCCTTCGGTTATCCGATCTGTTCCCAAAACGCCCCTCAGAACATACGAAAATCTACCAGTGAATCTACAGGTGCCCGTGCACGTAGTGGTCTTAGATCTACCTTGACGCCTATACTCTACAAAGCCCTAAGCCCTTAAACCCCCATAATGGCAGGTAGATATGGAGGCCCCAAATAAACAGTACTCCTACAACCCCTAGTCCCAGGCCCCGAAAAGGATCCCCTTAAGGGTTCTCAACAATGACCCAAGGGTAGTATAGGGTACTATTTGAGGGCTCTACTTTTTCGATCTTCTCAGACGTCTGGGTATGTACCGTATATACCCTGTAAAATATACTCTACAAAACCCAAGGGCTAATACTTCAGAACTCTTTAAAGAAGGTAAGGGGCCATGTTCGGGGACCGCAGAAGTAAACCCTAAACCCCAAACCCCAAACCCCAAACCCTAAACCCTAAACCCTAAACCCTAAACCCTAAACCCTAAACCCACACTTCGTGGCAAGGCCGATGGTGCCGGACACGACGGAGCAGATGGGACCTGAGTTCGGTTCCGACTCGTGGCCCTCCATCGAGCGGCTGGGCCAAGAAAGGCTGGAATGCGCCTTTGTTTCGGGGGGGTTTAGGGTTTAGGGTTTAGGGTTTAGGGTGTTTAGGGTTTAGGGTTTAGAGCTTAGGGTTTAGGGCTTATAGGGTTTAGGGTGGCTTGATATTTGTCCAGGGCGTCTACAGAGTTTGGAAGGCGCTTTCGGGTTTTGTTTGTCTTCGAGTTCGAGGCTTTCGGGCATGAGTTGGTCCTTCAGCTACTGTTCGCTTAAGAACCCCGGTGTCACAACTGGCACAAGCAGTGGCAGAATTGCCTCCAGACGCTCAACCGCTGTTCATGGTATTGGGAGTAAGGGACTACCAGCTGGGCTACACAAAGCCTCTTGCGGCAGCCACAGGGGCAGTCAAGGCATTTTTGCATGAAACGGATATTAATAGGGGAATTGCCCTCACTTCCCTCCCGGACCAGCACATGAAGATTGGCAAGGACATGGCACGCGGGTACATGACCATGATGTCCATTCGGATGAGAACCAAACCCTAAACCCTAGAGCCTATATTGCCCTTAGGAAGAATATATATGTTTTTTGAGGAGTTCTTAAGCAATTACTAGTCAAGCTTCATACTTTGCAACCACCGTCGCTAATGCTGGGTGGCTATGGTCTCTGCTGAGCGGGGTCTGTGGCTCCAAATGGCTTTTTTTGTTCCCCAAAGAGTAGCAGACAGGTTTCTGAGTTAAGTGCTTTTTGGGGACTTGGCAACCTCAGTTGCATCCTCCTAACCCCGTCAAGACCCACCAAATGCTCATCAGCGCCTGCTGTTTCCCCAAAAAACTCTAAGCTCCCAAACCCCCGGCCCGAATACAAAGCCCTACAACCGTAAACCCCAAACCCTAAACCCCAAACCCTAAACCCTGAACCCTGAACCCTAAACCCTAAACCCCACACCCAGAGATCCGACCCAGGTCTTTTCTCTCACGCGGCGAAGCCCCGGTCTTCTTTGGGTTTGGCTCGACGCCTGCCTGGGACTATGGATCCTGATGTTGGGTTTAGGGTTTAGGGTTTACATGGGGGTTTAGGGTTTAGGGTTTAGGGTTTAGGGTTTAGGGTTTAGGGTTTAAGGAGGGGTTTAGGGTTTTAGGGTTTAGGGTTGAGAGTGATGTTGGGGTTACCTGTGGCTCCCAAACCCTAAAGTTGTAGGTTGCAACCCCTAAATAGAGGGCAGAACTTCCAACATTGTAGGTACATGGAGCCCCAGGCAGGGTTTAAGGCTTCGGGCTTTCTGCTGAGGACTGCGTTCTACATGCGTATTTCCCTTGGGAACGAAATGAACCCTTAAAGGGTTTATGGCTCTTCTACCTTAATGGGAATTGTAGTAGCAAGGGAATATGGCCCCAATTTCAGGGTTCCCTTGGTCCCCCAAGGTCTGTCCCAATTCATCAGAAAGGCCTCACTTTGTCAGCCTGGTGGATGGTGGGCAGTCGGTGGGCCCGGGAGGGGGGGTGGGGGGGTGCAAAGAAGAGGCCCTGACACAGATGACCCTAAGCCCTAAACCCTAAACCCTAAACCCTAAACCCTAAACCCTAAACCCTAAGTGTTTCCAAGCCCAGGATGTGTTTTTTTAGCAACGAGCTCTGGAATCCGTCGGGAAAGCTAAGGATGATCTGCCAAAGCTCGAAGCTCCCAACCGTGCGCTTCAGATTCTGTAGTTGAAGCTTGAAACCCTAAACCCTAAACCCTAAACCCTAAACCCTAAACCCTAAACCCTAAAACCCTAAACCCTAAACCCTAAACCCCGAACCTTTAAGCCTTTGAGGTTGAGGGTTTAGAGAGTACCAGGCCCGAGATTCCGTCGCACGAAATGAACCCTGCTAGGGTTAATGGTTCTTAGACTTAGAAGCTGAGTGAGTACACTTTACACTTTTGGGGATACTATAATCCCCAAAAGAACTGAAAGTGTACACTTTTTCGGGGCTTCTGAACTCAGCAACTAAGTATGCCTTAATGGGAAGTAAAGAAGTACGGGAATATGGCCCCATTTTTGGGGTTGATTTGGTCCCCAAGGAGGGTGCTGCTTTCAGGTTCTGGGTTCAGGGTTTTGGTTTACATAGGGTTTAGGGTTAAGGGTTGAGGGTTTAGGATTTAGGATTTAATTCGGGTTTAGGGTTTAGGGTTTAGGGTTTAGGGCTTAGGTTTAGGGTTCAGGGTTTAGGGTAACCCTACAGTGGTAGACAGTCTCCGAATTTACATGACCGAGTGTTGGGACCCGCGTAAGTTGGCGAGGCTTTAGCCTGCAGGATTTTTAAGGTTTTTTCTTTTTTAGGTTTCACGGTTTTATGAGGGTTTCGAGTTAAATCAGATTCCAGGATTTCGGATTTGTAGGAAATTTCGTGTGTTTTTTTCTCGAGGTTTTGGGGTTTGATCTCCCGACGAAAAGGTTTAGGGTTTAGGGTTTAGGGCTTAGGGTTTCAGAAGATTCTGCCTTGGGCCCCTAAGGTTGTACCCTTGGTCTTCGGGGCGGGGACCTTTTATCAAGATCCTTAAGGTCGTATACGGGCTTAGGGTTTAGGGTTGATCCCAAAGGAACCATGAAACCTTTGCAGGTAAACGGCTTGCGAGACGGGGAACCCGAACGATGGAACGGTTTCTCAGAAGCTACCACGAACAGGAGCTACACTAGCGCATTCAGGTAGCTTTCCTGCGCTAGAAACTCCTTCCCCTTAACGTACAAAGCCCCTAAACCCTAAACCTTCTAAACCCTAAACCCTAAACCCTAAAACCCCTCGAATAAGCCCAGAAATCCCCCAGGTTCATGACCCTCCTGAGCCTCCGCGCCCTGCGCCTCACGGGCCTGCGCGGAATCCTCTGCGCCTCCTGGTCCGACATGTCGGTGCCCGCCCTAAAGGGGGTCAGGGGGGGGGGGGGGTAGGGTTTAGGGTTGAGGGTTGAGGGTTGAGGGTTGAGGGTTGAGGGTTTAGGGTTTAGGGTTTAGGGTTGAGGAGAAGAGGTGGCATTGGGCTTTTGGGGTAGGGAGTTGTAGCGGTGTAGCGTGGGGTTTAGGGCATTGGGCTTAGGGATTCAAGGTTTAGGGCGTAATGATTTGATTCGCCATGTGTATTTGCAGGGAGTCTGGGGCGTAGGGTTGTGCGGTTTACACGACATGAGTAGTTCGTACGCTCGTGCTTTTGCAATCAGAGCCAACGTTGCGGCTGCGAATCTCCGGATGGAGGTCAGCATCTGTGACATACTCCTGCTTATGCCAGCGTCTACTCCCTGAATCGCTCAACCCCTCCTCAGCCCTAAACCCTAACCCCTAGACCCGAAACCCGAAACACCCAAAGGACTCAGCCCAAAACCCAAGAAGCCCGAAGAAACACCACCCAACGCTGCCATGGAGGTGGACCTTGTGGATGGGGAGCCAGATGCAGAGGAGTGGGACAGCTTTGGGGACTTGGGGTTTTTTGAGGGCCTACATTTGGGGGACTAAGTGAACCGAAAAGTTTTATATTCCGTATACCTTCATAGGGGCTACAGTACTCTAGTCTAGGTATATCCCCCAATTTGAGGGTTCATCTGGTGTCCAAGGCAGGGGTTTAGACGTCCATTTAGGGGCCTTAGGAGAGTTTAGGGGGGTTTTAGGTTTCGAGGCTGCAGCACCCTGGGCAGGACCTCAAAGCGTACAGCCAAGAGAACGTCCTGTTCGTGACGCTTTGCGGAAGGTATACACACGCATATGCATATCTATGTCTATATCTATATCTATATCTCTATCTCTATCTCTATCTCTAAGCCCCACGTCTCAGGTGACCAATTCGCAGATTTTTAGCCCCCAGCCAATTTGCAAGTCTGCGAATCTTCGGGGTAGCAAATACATATATATATGTAGATACATAGAGACATATAATATGGAAACGTGATCCACACTTGCAACTCCATCTACCTATTATGGCTTAACGCACTAGGCCTGTATCACGACCACGCAACTATGGGCAAATGCAGTTTGTGGGGCATAGTTTGCTTTGTGCGCATGCGGATTTGGGGCTTTTGGGACGTGGGGTTGGGCACGCGTGTGTCGGCATCCCACATAGTACAGGAGGTTCTGGAGGTGTTGTCATAGCAACACGCTGGAGGTTGCAGGATAGACTCAATTTATATTTTTCAGTAAAGGTCTGGCATTGAGAGAAGACCCTCAGAATGTTTTAGGGTTTAGGGTTTAGGGTTTAGGGGATCACAGGCCCTAAAGTTTCAAGCGATATCATGATCCCAGATCTGCCATCCCCTTAAACCCGGTATCTTGGGATGTTCCCCCTTATACTAACAGTCCCTAGTATAGGGATTACAATACAGCACTACAGGACTGTTAGTAAAGGGGGATCATCCCAACCCATATCCTGAACCCCTAGCGAACTCGAAATTTTCACGACCCCGCCCAGGAAATTCGCACCGCACGGAGCCCTTTTTCCGCGGTGCTGCGCCATCGTACACCACGGGGGCGCCGGCACCACCAATGCCTCCGCAAAGTCTGGGGTGCCCACCGTGACTTGCTAGCCCAGTTGTACCCTTTTCCGTTTTTGGTTCAAGGTTCCCTTGTAAAGTAACCTTCCGTTTTTGGTTCAATGTTCCCTTATAATGTAACCAACCCCAAAAATCGTGCCCTGGTTGTAGTATGGTTTCTGGCCTACCGTGACCTTCATCTAGTACTTGGAGACGAAGACCGCTGTTGACAGTTCACCCATCACACCTTGAGACCCTAACTCTCAGGCTTTTGTAACCAGTTCTAGAAGCTTGGAGACAGTGAACCAGACCTTGGACCCCAACATAAAAACCGTACCATTCATTTCTCTCACTCTTGTTCCACAGCCTTGTTCACCTGTATCATCTGTTTCGAGACGTAACCAACCCCAAAAATGGTGCCCTTGTTGTAGTATGGTTTCTGGCCTACCGTGACCTTCAGGAGATCACTCTCCGAAGCGCCCCCGAAGACCTTCAAGCACTTGACTGGGGTAGGTCTGATCGTGATTTTTCGTGCTTATTAATTACCCTTGTATTCCTTACATAATCCTTATAAAGCCATTAAAAAACAAATACAATTCAGGGACCCCAAGCCTACCCCAGTAAAGCCCCCAGCAGTGTACCCAATGAACTCAAACTACAAGAGCCCTGCCGGTGCCTGGACGAGAAGAGTTTTTTCTTTACGCGCAAGCTTTGGACTTTGACCTGAACCCCAGAACCCTAAACCCTGGACTCTAAACCCTAAACCCAAAAGAGTACGGCTTAAGGACTTGGCATAGGTCCTCTGTGCGTTTCGTGTTGACGTTCAAAAGCTTCGTTTTAGGGTTCAGGGTTTAGGGTTTAGGGTTGTGCGCCAGTCAGGGTGAGTACAGCCAAGGGTCGCATAGCAGCAGTATATACTGATATACTTGTATAGTAGAGCAGCGTAAATCTGAACACTGCTCTTCAGGCACTGTTTCGCTGCCGTACCGCTCCCTCCGAATCCTAGGCCTAAACCCGAGCCCCTGAATACCGAAAAAGATATCGTCCAAAGTTCTAAGCCTCAATTCAGTCACAAAAACTCAAAAACTCCTGTATGAAAAGATCCTTTTAAACATGTGGATTCCAGAGCGGTAACGACCTCACTACGAATGTATGAGGTGATCTTGCCTTTATCCTTTGACCAGTTCGACCATGCCGACCGCGTGAATGAATGCGGGATTGGCGCAGCTTTTCTGGAAATAGATCCGTATATAAGAGTAAACCTCAACGCCTTAGCCCAACTTAGGTGTCCGCTAGGGTAGCGTTTACGCTTTCTGGCGTGTTCGAATCGAAGCACTCTACCTCGAACCCCTAAGGAGGCAGCCTTGCGTTTCGGGACCCTTATAATTTAAAGATCTAGTAGTAGAGTAGATAACCTTTAACCTTATTGGGGTAGTATAATCCCCTTATAATCCCAAAGGTTAACCTTTAATTCCCCCAGGTTACCGGACAACTAGGAAGATCCTCTAAGGCAATACAAGGGCCAAATTCAGGGAACCTCTTAGGGGCGCATCCTTCGGTGTCTGAGTATGACCCATTGATAGAAAGACGCCCTACGCTACACCCTAAACCCTAAACCCTAAACCCTAAACCCAAACCCAAAACCCAAAACCCTAAACCCTAACCCCTAAACCCTAAACCCTAAACCCTAAACCCTAAACCCTAAACCCTAAACCCTAAACCCTAAACCCTAAACCCTAAACCCTCACGCTGAGGCTCCCTAAGATACACGGTGCAGGGCTTGAGCTTCGTGGAGTGAAAGGGGGACTTAAGGCATCAAAGGCATAGGGTTTGAGGGTTTACGGGTTTAGAGGGTTTAGGGTTTAGGGCTAGGGTTTAGGGCTTTAGGGTTTGCAGGGTGTATGGGGCTCTATTGGGCTTTAGGTGCCCCATCTTAGGTTGGGATGAAGCCCATGATGAGCCTGGAGCCCGAAGAGGCTCTTTTTTTCTTCTCCAGGGGAGTTCAGGGTTCAGGGTTTAGGGTTTAAGGTTTAGGGCTTAGCGTTTATGGGGTTCTAGGTAGGCCCTCGGGCTATGGCTTATAATTTCCCTTATGGGGTTTGCGGGGATGATCTTCAGGAATCTTTTTTCAGAGGCTTTCAAGGACCTGGCTGGAATGGTAAATGTGCAGTAGAAAGTATAAAGTACTGCACATCCAGGATTCAGAAGTTGGCGCGTTTGTGCTTTGGAACTCGGGTTTGCGAGGGCTGAGATCTTAGGGCTTCAGGGTGCAGGGCCTTTTCTTTGTGGTCATGATTCGTAGATTGTGCTCCTTGTGCTGTTCTTTTGTTTTTTGATTTTTTGCTGTCGTGATCTGCAGCTTGTGCTGCGATATTGTGTTGTTGCTGGTCCTTTTTCTGGTGGCCCTGGTTTGCTGCTTGTGCTCCCAAGTTTGTGCTCTTTGTTGTGCCCTAGCTGTCTGGCACCGTGCGATAAAAGAGTTTGTTAAGACTTTTGAATGCTTCTGGATTTTTGATATGTGCTGGCCATTTTGAGGGTGGGGTTTGTAGGTTGTGCCTTGAAGGTGTGCCAGCTACTAGTTGTGCTTCTTTGTGGGGTCGTGCTCTGCAGCTTGCCCCGATTTCAGGTTTTTGTTTGTTCATGGCCGGTGTTTGCAGTTTGTGCTTCGAATCTCGCGCTTGTTGTGTTCTCTACGAGTTCTTGTGCGGCGGCAACAAAAAGCAATAATTTTGGTGTGCCATTTTTTGGTTGCAGCGTTCCTCCGGAAAACCATTATTGAGCTGTTACTGCGCGGGGAGAGATCTGACCTAGCAGGACCTCCCTTGCTTTGGGATGTTCCCCCTTCTATGAACAGTCCTTAATAGGGGTTATAGTACCCCCTATTGGAATCTCTAAACCCTACACCCGAAACCCTAAACCCTATGAAGCACTGTTAGAAAACTCAAGGGGGAACATCCCAACCTATGCTCCGAATCCTCCAACATAAATCTCAAGCCGTTCGAGGCGTGCTTCTGTTCCAACGCCACAGAAGCCCCCCCAAAAAAGTCCACGAACCCCCGAAACCCGATATCCTAAACCCTACACCCTAAATCCCAAACCCTAAACCCCAAACCCCAAACCCCAAACCCCAAACCCCAAACCCCAAACCCCAAACCCCAAACCCCAAACCCCAAACCCCAAACCCCAAACCCCAAACCCCAAACCCCAAACCCCAAACCCCAAACCCCAAACCCCAAACCCCAAACCCCAAACCCCAAACCCCAAACCCTAAACCCTAAACCCTAAACCCTAAACCCTAAACCCTAAACCCTAAACCCTAAACCCTAAACCCCAACCTGAAGTCCTGAAGTCCAAATTCTACAAACCTCCCAAGGAAGAAGCACATCTACGTCTTAACCCTTCCCGAACCCCAAACCCTGAACCAAAATTCCCCTTCAAACCCTAAACCCTAGCCCTAAACCCTAAACCCTCAAGACCAGGAATCGCGAACCCTACAACTCCTAGGACTCCTAGGATTCAGGGGAGGCCCTGAGTCCCCTATTGCTAGGGCCTGGGCTTCCTATAAAGCCCCTTTAACCCACAAAGGGTTTAGGGTTTAGGGTTTAGGGTTTAGGGTTTAGGTTGGTCCTAGGTTACTCTTGGGTCTTTCCTGTCGTCAGGTGGCAAAGGCCATCCTGTGCTGTGTGGAGAGCAAAGAAGCCCGGCTCGTCAGCCTCTAACGCGCGTAGTTCCCCGGGCGTAATAAGAGTTCCGAACCGGGGCTTGCATCAGCTTCTGACGCAAGGACTACAGGCATATATATATATATATATATGCATATAGATATATGTATATATATATATATATGGCTCCCCTAAACCCTGAACCATAAACCCTAAACCCTGAACCCTTGGCCTCAAGAAGAGACTCCAGGTCGTAATATGGTCCAAAGCTCGTATGGGCTTCGAGGTAGGCCCTTGGGATGTGTCATAATTCCCCTCTTATCGGGTATGAGAGGGTCATACTTAGGAATATCTGTCAGAGAGTTTTATTGGGCTTATGAGGGTCAGATTTAGGAATTAAGGGCCATCCTAGTAATTTGGAGGGTTACGAAACGAGGAGATCCTAAAATAGACACCCGGAAAGTAGTATCCCCCTTTTCAGGATCCGAATAAGGTACCCTGAGTTCGGAAACCCTCCCTAAACCTAAGCCCTAAACCTTAAACCCTAACTCTAAACCCTAAACCCTAAGCCCTAAACCCTAAACCCTAAACCCCCCAAAACCCTAAACCCTAAACCTTTCGTTAGGGCTTTTGTTGGTCGTTTAGGGTTTAGGGTTTATTTCGGTTCTTGTAAATGGCGTTTGAAGCAAACTTCTGAAGCTAGTAGAAGTTTAGTCGAGAAGAAGATGGTAGAAAACCAGTCGAAGGTTTTCAGCAAAGCTAGTAGAGGTTCTTTTCAAGCAAGGCTCGCAGAAGTTGTTCCTAGAAAATGCCGGTAGAACTTGTGGGAGAGAGTACATGTTTTGCGGGAAAGCGCATTAGAAGCTTGTTTGTAAGGAAAAGCGCTAACACGTACATCCATCAGCTTCGAGCGATCTGAGGACATCCGGGAACGCGCCCGGCAAGTGGGTGAAGCCATGTGCAAAGACTGCCTTGGGGAGGGGTGGCACAGCCAGCCCTTGGCTTAAGTGGTTTAGTTTAGGGTTTAGGGTCTAGGGTCTAGGGTCTAGGGTCTAGGGTCTAGGGTCTAGGGTCTAGGGTTTAGGGTTTAGGGTTTAGGGTTTAGGGTTTAGGGTTTAGGGTTTAGGGTTTAGGGTTTAGGGTTTAGGGTTTAGGGTGTAGGGTAGGATCTAGGGCTGCAAGACTTAAGGCCTTGAGGAGGTTTTGTTAGATAGTATGGAGATTGAAAAAATGCGCGAACAATGTTTCGTCATAGTGCCCTCTAACCAAAGCATCTGAGCATGGAGCACCGCAAATTCGAGTCTCTTTTTTTTTTTTCTCTCTCTCTCTCTCGAGTTGACAGGCGGAGTTCAGATTCTGGTCTGACGTCTAAGTGCTATAGGGGTCGGAATAATTACTACGTTTATTCTCTTAGGGTCCCTTCATAAATATACTACAAGAACCCGTTTGCAATATAAGGTTTAGGGTTTAGGGTTTAGGGTTTAGGGTTTACATTTAAGCGTTTCCGAAAACCTTTCTGGGGGGCTCCATTGAAAGGGATGCTGTAGCATTTGGGGGGGTTTATAGGGGGAGGGGGGTACCCTTTATTTTCGGAAATCCCCGTACGCTTCCCAGAGGTGCCCCTTTGCATGAGAAGGCTTTGGGTTTAGGGTTTAGGGTTTAGGGTTTAGGGTTTAGGGTTTAGGGTTTAGGGTTTAGGGTTTAGGGTTTAGGGTTTAGGGTTTAGGGTTTAGGGCAAGGTCGTGCTTCGGCGCGTTTTGGGGACCAAATGAAACCCCAAAACTGTGGGTCATACTACTGCAAGCGCAGTTGGGGTAGACAGACCCTACGGCCGTAAACCCTAAGCCCTCAACCCTCAACCCTCAACCCTCAACCCTAAACCCTCAACCCTCAACCCTCAACCCTAAACCCTAAACCCTAAACCCCAACCCTTTTGGGGTTCATTGGGTCCCCAGGGTAGTAGCTCTCCAGGGAAAGCCTTCGAAGAACCCTGATGGGGGTTCGGGGTTCTTGGGCCCCTTGAGGCATCCTTGTTGCCACCCCACAAGTCCCTGCGTAGGGTTTAGGGTCTAGGTCTATGGTCTAGGGTCTAGGGTTTAGGGTTTAGAGGGTTTAGGGTTTAGGGTGTAGGGTTTAGGGTTTAGGGTTTAGGGTTTATGGGTTTAGGGCTGGCATTTTCCTTTTATGTCAGTCTTGCACTTTCCCTATCGAAAGCTCCTGTAGTTGAATATCCTACACCTTCAACCCTAAACCGCGAACCCGCAACTTTTGGAACTGGGAACCAAGTGCTCGTGATCCTAAACCCTAAACCCTAAACCTTAAACCCCATAGAAACCCTAAACCCTAACCATGGAGTCCTGGCCAGGAGAATGGCCCGGCGAAGCTTGTGGCTTTTGTCCGCAGCTACCTTACGGACCTCTGTGTGCAGGTTTAGGGTTTAGGGTTTCGAGTTTAGGGTTTAGGGCTTAGGGTAGGCCCTGAACTCTACAACCTTGGGGACCAAAGGAAGCCCGAAAAGCTTTGTGGTCCATAACAACCTTACTAGGGAAGACAATAGTATAGGATATATGACCCCGAATTTAGGACTCACTGCGTCCCCATGGGCCAAGCAAGCACGCCCAAAACAACTAGACCTTTCTGGCAGGAAGGGTGACAGTTGCTTGCCCCGGCCCCTAAACCCTAAACCCTAAACCCTAAACCCTAAACCCTAAACCCTAAACCCTAAACCCTAAACCCTAAACCCTAAACCCTAAACCCTAAACCCTAAGCCCTAAACCCTAAACCCTAAACCCTAAACCCTAAACCCTAAACCCTAAACCCTAAACCCTAAAACCCTAAAACCCTAAAACCCTAAAACCCTAAAACCCTAAAACCCTAAACCCTAAACCCTAAACCCTCCCTGAAACCGGGGGGTCAATGAGCGGCCGAAAATGACGTGGAAGTAGACATTGCGAAGAAGGCCTACAGCGCAGTACTCAGAGTCTCCATCTGGACGCTTCAGGTTTCGGAACTCCCTAAACCCTAAACCCTAAACCCTAAACCCTAAACCCTAAGCCCTAAACTTGCAGCGTGTAGGGGCTCCTGATGCTTCGAATCTTTCGACTTCCTGGCTTTGCCCCCTCTGCATAAGCCCGCGCACCCGAAGTCGCACCAACGGAAGCCCCAGAGGACTACGTTGACACCGGTCGCCACTTGAAGCTCCAGGACCGATTGAGAGGAGTTTCTTGAACAACATAGCAGAGTATGTCGACGGCTGCTACTGTTGCTACCTCTCCGCTACTTCTGCTCCTGCTACTTCTACTACGACGCCGACAACTACAATGATGACTACCAAAAACAGCACACATAGGCTCAATATTTATGATACGAGTACTAGTACTACCAGTCGTTACGCAGCAGTAGCTAGTCTGTGTTTGGATGGGCATTATAAGTGCTAGGAACCTTATTAATCCGCAGCATCTTCAGGGGTTAGCATGGTCCCCTGGTGTTAACAGCACTTTTGCGCTTCAGTCCCTCCGGACTCAGCGTGCAAACTGCCACAAGGAACTCCAAACTCTTGACTTGCACTTCTACACAGCATGATAAGCGCCCGAAGCTAGACAAACCTACGTAACAACCTTAAACAATTGCCCTACTTGTGCCTTGCCAACGCCAATCACAGGCTTTGGGGGCTGGGGGGGGGGGGGGAGGGGGGGGGAGGAGGGGGGGGGGGGGGGGGGGGAGGGGGGGGAGAGGAGGGGGGGGGGGAGGAGGGGGGGGGGAGGAGGGGGGGGGGGGTGGGGGAAGGGGAGGGGGAGGGGGGGGGGAGGGTCCAGGGTTGAGGGAGCCCTAAACCCTAAACCGTTTTGGGTTCATGAACCCAGGGTTGACAGGTTGACAGATGTGTTTGGAAAGCCTGCACGACGACGACATGCTCGCCTGATAAACTTCGGCGGATGTAGATTCATTCAAGGTTACCTAAACGCTATAAGAGCCCCAAAGAGAAAAAGCAGCTAACGCCCTGAACGACCGAAGAGCACACAAAAACTTCAGAGGGCCTTGAATTACCTCGCCTTGGGGACGAAATGAACCCTAAGATTTGAGGGCATGTCCCTATACTACTGTAGGTCCCTACTAAGGTTTATGGACCTTATAAGCCCTAAACCCTAAACCCTAAACCCTAAACCCTAAACCCTAAACCCTAAACCCTAAACCCTAAACCCTAAACCCTAAACCCTAAACCCTAAACCCTAAACCCTAAACCCTAAACCCTAAACCCTAAACCCAATCCCTAAACCTAAACCTAAAACCAAAAACCCTGAACCCTAAACCCTAAACCCTAAACCCAACCCTTTTTGGGTTCATTTGGTTTCCAATGCTGTTCTCTGCCGCCGCAGGACCAACTGAGGGAGCAAAGGTCTCGGAGCTGGCTTTGTGAATGTCTTCCTTGCCGCTGACGTCGCTTAGGGTTTAGGGTTTAGGGTGTAGGGTGTAGGGTGTTTAGGCTTTAGGATGCGTCTGAGGCCTTTCTAGGCAATTGAGGGTGCAGGGTCTCGGGGTACGATGGTTGAGGGTTAGGGCTCTTACCTGGCAAGTGCAAAGCTTTAAGTATAGCGGGGCTGGGGAGGAATCAGGGTTTTGGCACTTCGCCTGTTTTAACCCTGGCCTGAATCGGCACGGGGAATTATTGTCCTTTCAGTTTTCCACTCTTGCTGCCTATTCCAGAAGGCGCCAAGACCTCTACCCTTGAAGTACGTAAGGGGTCCTATCTTAATCCAAACACTTAAAGGTTTTTACTGAACCTTATACAGCCAAACCCTAAACCCTAAACCCTAAACCCCTGAATGCGTAAGGTCTTTGGGTCTTCCTGGGCAAGAGGAGTCCAGACTTGCAGTGCAAAAGGTACAGGACCTCTCCGGCGGTGGATAAAAGCGGACCGTGTGGCCACTAAGGGACAGTCAGAGACCTTGGCGAGTTTAGGGTTTAGGGCCCAAGGTCTTTTTGAGCATTCGCACAAATTCGCACAAAAGCCATGTTAGCACCAGCTGCATGCA